GCTTGACTTGTAATATAACGAATTACAAAACATCGAGTGGAGATTGTAAATCACAAAGTAGTTTAATAGGATGCGATGTGAATGTTACACAATATGGATGCACACGATGTAAAGATGGGTATTTCCAAGTCAACACAAACGAATGTGATAAATGTGACACAACGTGTTTAATGTGTTCTTCATATGGAATTTGTGATTCATGCATATCATCGGAAGTTTTACTTTCAAATGGAAAATGTGTTAATCTCTCTCAAATATTAGAATGCAATGAAATATCAAACTCAAAATGTATTAAATGTTCATTCTGGAATGCACCAAGTTTGGATGGTACCTATTGTGAAAAACATACTGTGTGGTGGGTCATACTTGTTATTGTTCTATTTATTATTATTGTACTAACATTATTTATAATAATATTAGTTTATACAGTAAAGCACATTTTGAAAAAAATTCACACAAAAGAGTTGGAAAAAACAACAACAATATTTAAAATGGAAAAATCAAATATTAATTTTGTACCACTTGCAAACCACATTTGTGTCTCCTCAAAAACACTTAATTTCAATTCAGAAATCGATGAGATCCCAGTTGAAAGTGAGACAAAGATGGTGTTTTGTGTGGGCAATGCATCCAGAAACGTCTCAAAAATACAATTTACCATGACAACACAAATTGACAAATTTACAATAAGGGTATCACCAAAAGTCGTCATGTTAAAAAAGAAGTTTGCGTGCGAATTTTCAATATATTTGACACCAAAGTGCACATGTCAAATAAATAACAAAATCTGCATTGTCTCAAAAAATCTCAAAACGAATACCGAAAACACAAATGAAATTCTAATGATTGGAGTAACAAGTCAATCAACTCGCATAGACTACGAAGAGTTGATCGAAGAGTCTAAATTGGGAGAAGGGTCTTTTGGTGTCGTTTACAAAGGAAAATACAGAGGAAACACGGTTGCTATAAAGAAGATGAAACAAAGTGGAGAAAACAACACTTTAAATAACGATAAAAATGATGAAGAATTTGAAAAGGAAGTTGCGATGTTAGACAAATTTAGGTGTGAGTATATAGTCCACTTTTATGGCGCAGTGTTAATACCAAGTAAAATGTGTTTGGTCACCGAATTTGCGCAACATGGGTGTTTGAGTAATGTTATGAAAAAGTTTAAAAAGTGTGATATACAACAAAAAATGAAAATTAAAATGATGATTGACATAACGTATGGTATATCATATTTACATATAAATGGGATTTTGCACAGAGACATCAAGCCTGACAATGTCCTGGTATTTTCTTTTGATCACAACAACAAGGTGAACGCCAAATTGACTGATTTTGGATCAAGTCGAAACATTAATATGTTAATGACCAATATGACGTTCACAAAGGGTGTTGGGTCTCCAATTTATATGGCGCCTGAAATATTAAAAAGAGAAAAATACAAAAAGAGTGCCGATGTATTTTCATTAGCAATAACAATGTATGAATGTTTTACATGGACTAACGCATACCCCAAAGAACAATTCAAGTTTCCATGGACAATTGCAGAGTTTGTGATTAAAGGGTTGAGATTGCCAAAGCCAGATGAAATGAGTCAAGGTGTATACAATATCATTGTCGGGTGTTGGGACAATGAACCAAAGAAGAGAAGTTTAACAGAAAATATTTTAGATGAACTCGAAACAATATTTAAATCTATTCACTAATGTTATTCAAGTTATATTTTATTTAAATTTTAACGATTTAAAATGCAAATAAATTTGCATTTTGAATGAACAACATAATTATTACGTTCATGATTAGTTATTTTATTCATTTTTGTATAGTTTATCTCGCCAACAATTAAATACAGTTAAATCTCTCTATTGTAGATAAAATAAGATAATAAATAAACCAAATAGTGATAATGAAACGTCTCTTAATAAGGAGATTTTTTATGAGGGGACTTACTAATAAGAGGTTTATCTTTGATTCTCATTCAAACAGTTATTTTAAAAAATATTATTATATTGAATTGGAATAATTCACTAATTAATATCAAAAACATTTGTTCTTGGCACTTAAGGGATTCATGAGGATTGTTAATTTTTCTGAGGATGGTAAATATCTTAAACATAATTTCTTTCAATTTAGATTTTTTTGCCTAAGATCAAAAAGGTATATTTTGAAACATATGATTTTCTTTAAAAATGCTATTTATGGATTTTTTAAAGGATGATTCTTTCAGTTATATTTAACAAAAAAATAATCTACTTCTATTTTTTTGATTTACCACAAGACTAACTTTGGTTAATATGAAAACATTTGACAGACATTTAAATTATCGAAAAAGTCGATTTTTTAATCAAAATTACAAAACAAATTAATCGAACAATTTTTAATTTTTTTTACAAAAATAATTTATTATAAATCAATTCATGATATTTCAAACAATAAAAATTGATAACAAATCACATATTAATAACGTATAGTCTATGCGATGACAATTTATGTATTTGCGCAAATTCAAAACGAGAGGTTTTGGATATCGATGAAACAACGATTGATAAATAAACAAATTTTTAAAATAAAATCATTTTTGTTTTAAACGGTTTTATTTATTTTTCAAAACATATATACACAAGAAATATATATTTAAATTATTTTTTTATACAATACAATATCAATTCTCAATAGAAATGTGTTCAATTTATTAATCAATTTTATATATTATTTGGCGTTTATGTTGTGTTTTGACGATTTTTGATATAATCAATTAACAAAACTCACTTTATAAAAATTCTTTGATAATTTTATTTATAGAATTTTAAATCAATAGTGGCAGTGCTATACATATCTCTGAGGATGGTAAGTCGTGTAACAAACAAACATTATCAACAAAGACTTAAACATCTAAAAAGTGAAATGACGTGTTCCCACATTCAAAAATAGTAACTTACTCAATATACATTTCAGACAGATGTAAAAGTGTAAACTTTCTATTTCTGTCATCCTCAGAAAATAATTCCATCCTCAGAACTGTAAATCTGTTTAAAATATAAGTTAATATCAAAATGAAACATTCATATTAAAATATACACAATTTGATTAACTTTGTTATTATAATAAATTTGAATAATTGCATAAATTACAAAATTATTTATAAATTTGTTATTTTAAAATTACATTTTTAGAAAATCAGTGTTTTCGACTTTTTCAATTTTCATTTTGATAAAAAAACAATTATCAATTTAAATGTAAATTTTAATTATTATGTTATAAAGACGGATTCGGAAATAATTTCAATAAGTATATAATCATAATATGAACAAGTTTAATTCACGTTTTGTTATTTCCCGTCTCAAGTTCGCGAGATATAATTATAGTTTTTGTTTACTGATTATCGTGGCGATTTTTTGATTGTATTTATTTTTTGGCATTTATGACAAATTATTACCATTATTTAAAATTCGAACTTTGACTCGAAATATTAAGTGTAAATTATAACTTGAGTTATGAAAGTGGGCCTTATGGGGAACTGAACCTTATGGATTTGATTTTTGTATCCTCAGAAAAATATTTTTAATAAGGATAGCTTTAATCCTGAGGATACACCTTATCCTCAAGAAACCCTTTATTACTTCGATTTTTTTAAAAAATGTTATATTTATGATTTATTATTTGGATAAAAAGTTAAAAATAATTGAATGTGTTACAAAAATTAATAAAATTTCGTAATAATAACGAATTAATTAAAATGTCGTTATATTATTTTAATTTGTACATTCAACTTAATTAACGAAAAAAATTAAATCGAAGTAGAAAAATAAATAATAATTAATAACTTTAAACCTTATTAATATATTTAATTTTTTGATAATTATATTTGATATGAATTATCCAATTTAATAAGAAATAAAAAAATCTTTCGTTCACAATTCATGTTTTGAATAAAAATATAAAAACATAACATTATTATTTGTAAGTTAATTCAAATAACAGCCGATTCATTAGTATAATTCTTTTAAATTTAAACTCAACAACAAACGTCAAGAAATAATTTGACATTTTAACACTTAACTTTCTGGTTCATTTCAAATATATTCAACCATCTGATAAATTAGTTAATATTAATAACGTGTTTGAAAGTGTTATTATTATAACCAACTTTATATTTTTTATTGCCAAATCTGGTACTTGGTCATTAGGAACATATAATTTAAAAAAGACGCCACATTACAGAAAATATATTTTAATAACAGTTAAAAAATATTTAGAAATTACTTCTGAAGAATATTCAATATTTGAAATGTTGACAATAACAAAAAATGTCACAATGGTTTAAAAAGATGGTTTATGTGTGTGTTGAAAACTTTTGTCTAACAATTTTTTTGTATTATTAAAACTTTTAATAGTTATTTTGCAAATTGTAAAAATTGCAAAGTTTAACAAAAAGTGCTTATTCTTCTTGAACCACAGATTTTTATTGTTAATACAAAAGAGTGCAACACTTTTTCTGACGTAATTTCAAATTATAGAAAAATTTATCTAAAAAAATACACTGAATGTTTCAATGGCAATTTGATCAAAGATAAAACCAAATGTGTAGACACAAATTTATATAAACATTATCTGGTCAATAAAGTGTGTACTGAATGCGAACATACATGCAAAAAGTGCATTGGAGCTGGAAAGTGTACTGAATGCGCTGATAAAAAAATAATATCCAACACTGGAAAACGTCAGAATGGTACCGACTGTCCAAATTATTATTCAAAAGACACAACTGGTAAGAAATGTACCAGATGCAACAATTCGTGTAAAGCACGTCAATATTATGAAACGTGGAAACTTATGCAGACAATAACTTCTTTGTTGAAGACACAAAGAAATAT